CTTTTAGTGATAACGAAGAAAACATTATTTAATTTATATTAATATGTATCACTTAAATATCTTTATTAAAATTTTCTTATCTTAATTATGAAAATATAATAGCATGTTTTTTAATTTTTGGAACCTAAACCTCCTTTTCGTACTAGTTCTTTGTTTCGCATAACACAGATTCGCATAACATGGCAATTTTTTGGAACGTAACTACTGTGTTATACAGGGGTTACCTGTATATGGAGAGGATGCAGTTACTGCATCCTCCCCATATACAGCACGTATTTTTTTTAACTTTTTGTCGCATTTTTCCTTTTTGGAAATAATAGAGCATGAGATGTTGAAAATGCACCTTCTTATCTTCCATTTTAACGTTTTTTTTTTTCTTAAAAGATAACAAAATTTAAAAAAATAGCTGTAATTAAACTTGCATAATAAATATGCAAATATTCATAATGTTAACTTAAACAAGTTAAAACTTGATAAGCACGACAGAGGCACCACAGATAAGCAATTATGTAAATACATGAACAAACTTTCGGTTCAACCCAATACAATAATCAACACTACATGATTAATAACTGATAGAGCTCCTTAACTACTTATCCTGTTGTCTTCACTTCCTTTCATGGTACTCATTTAAGTTGGATGTCTGACTAATGAAAAAGTTAGGAATCCAGCATTGTCAGACAGATGATAAAGAAAAGTGCATACTGAACAATACACTCCTGCATGTAAATGATTTATAAACTTGTTCTCATGTCTACTGACCTTCTAATAAAGCCAATGCTATTCTTTGTCTAAGTTCAATAACTACAACTTAGTTTGATCATATATTAATAGTAATTAACATTGTGATCTGTTTCCTTCTCTTCTATAAACATCCAAACTCAATAGTCATATATTAAAGCCAAACGATTGCCGAATTATATTGAGCTTATATTACTACTACTATTATTAATTAAATGCTAAGCAATTTGACACTAAAGACAGGCATTAGGTATCATCTCTTGCTAAATTTAATAATTATAATTAAATTAATATTTTAATAATTAATTTAGAAGGTTCTGGAATAAAAGAATTGGCCTAAAGTGGGATTCAAACCTGCAACTCTTACTCACAATGCAGTCACGTTGCCAGTTACACTACCCAGACCTCCATTCAATCCTCACTTCCAGAACTTATTAATTTAGATATAATCATACTTGGTTACTTATGGCATTTGCTAGAAATAACTTAGTGCCTGTGGTCTATAACTCCCACTATGGTACTCAACCATAATTGCTAAATTTAAGTATAATTATTAAATTTAGCAACAGATGGTACCTAATGCCAGTCTCTAGTGCCAAATTACTTGGTATTTAATTAATAATAGTAGTAATATAGCCTGATATAATTTAGCAATCACTTGGCTTTAATATATAACTATTGAGTTTCGATGTTTATATTTGTGTACATTCATATATACATACATACATACATACATTTGTCCTCTGGATTTATATACATAAAACCAGAGAACAAGATGTAAAACATAACAAGCTTTATATATTATGTTTTACATCTGAGATAATACAATTTTAAAACAGTGTAATATGTTACTAGTGAATAGTGCTAAATTGTTTTGTACAAGTTTTTATATATATATATGTGCTGAACTGTCTCCATCTGGTCCATAAGTAAGCAAGTATGGTTGTATTATTTATCAAACCTTGTATAAGGGATATATTTTAACATATATAAAATTTTGACTTTATTTTCACTAATGCTTAAAACTTTGATAGTAAAGGATATTATATTCAATAAATGACAAATTATTTGTAATAAAATGTCTTGTAAAAACAAATCTGATTTCCTGTGGCAAATCTAACCATATATTGGAGAGTCTAAAAAAGAAAACATGGTAATGGTAAATAGTTCATGAAAAAGTTTTTAACATTTGATTCCAAATTCCATTTTCAATACTAATTTAATTGAAAATGAATTATATGCTAGAAATATTGAGGACAATGAAATTGTAAATGTGATATTCATATTTATAGTTTTATCACATAGTTGTGAACCAATCAGCTATTAGCTTCCTTAATAGCTAAGCAATATGACATGTTCTAATCAGTCAACTAAAATAACAGATGTCATTACTAATGTTATTTATAAGGATTGCCAAATTTGAAAATTGGACATGTCATATTTCATTGTGCATAATAGTTCTTGGTGGGCCACCTTACAGATGGGTAAGCTCAGCATAAGCAAAACATGGGGTGCATTAAGTATTGGTGGAAATAGATTTTATCTCCAGTAATTGCCAGATTAATGTAAAGTTAGTTATGATGGAAGCATCCAGAATCAAACAGGTGGTAGTTTGTTTTGAGAGGTTGAAGGGAATAGAAGTGCCAACATCTATAGACGAATTAAGTATGTTTATGGTGAACATTGTTTAGGATGAACAGAAGTGAATAATTAGTGCAAGAGTTACAGAGAAGGCCACAAGTCAATTCAGAATAAACCGAGACCAGATCAGGCACACACCATAATCTCTGCTACATTCTTCATCTATGGACTACATAATCAGAAGTGACGAATGAATTACAACTTGCACTTCAACTTTCATATTTTTAGTTCTCTCAAGAAAGCTTTGCAAGGGCAAAGATTATGTTGGATGATGAGGTGAAGAATAGGGTCAAAGAATTTTTTTACCAGCAGCCACTAGAATTCTACACAAGGGGCATTGATCTGCTTGTGAGATGCTGGGATCTTTGCCTAAAAAAAAATGGAAATTTTGTTTAGATTTGCAATAAATGTTTGTCAGTTCTGACATGTGTTCACTTTTCATGTAACCCTTACATTTTGTTACATGTTGCATTTCACTTTAAAGCATCCCTGACATAAATCATCCAAGAATATTGTCAGAAAGATAGATCACGTTTTGGTAGCTGCCTGCATAGAGAGTGAAGGCACAGTGATATTTTTATTGATAGTACAACACAGTTTCTGTGATATGGTGTAAAAGTGTGAAATGTGATAAGAATACACAAGCATGTGAATTCAATTAAAACAAATTTAATCTTGCGATAAACAATTATATACAGAAAAGTTCTTTTGAATTCCCTCAGTCTCACACAATACCAATTTCCTTCACTGCCTGTTGGCAACAATAAACCAAGTAGCTAGCTTCTGCGGAAACTACTTACCCGACAATAATAATCAAACACGTGCGATCTTTAACTAATTAATCCTAAAGATAGAAAATATAAAGATAGGGAAATGAGAAGAATGAATAAGATAGTGGGGTACCCAATATTCAATGAACTTCAATATTGACTCGTGTCTTTTTCTAAGTAGCTCTGGGTTCTTCTTTCATGTGTCAAATGTCTTCTCTTTAATAGCTTTGACGGTCTCTGCGATTCTATCATCTGGATCTCCACTTCATGGCTCTCAGTTCTGCTCTCGTTGAATTCCATCTCATGAGCTTACTGATCTATATTCGTGCCTTTTTGTGTCCAGCCAAAGAATGACTGTTAGAGACTCCATTTTCTACTTGTTAGCTTCCTCTAAGTGCATTGTCTCACCTGACCCCCTAGTGGGTGGAAAGGAAAGAACCCTTGTTCCCAGAAGTCAGAATAATAAACAAAGGAAGTTAGAAAGAAGGACTAAGAAGGGGAGAGAGTTATTAAAAGTATTTAATCTAGAATATATATACAAAAATATGGCATATAGCCACAATGGCTATTACCATAGACTTTCCAATACATGGTCAGGTTTGTCTCAAGTATATTTGAATTATACAGAGACAAACTATAAGGATATTTACATTAATTAATAGGTCAAAAAGCCTTTTTTAAGGCTATTTGGTTGTGTGATGGCGAGTAAGCCTCCACATTCTGTTGTTCTTGCCTGGAAAGGGGGTGATGAAGTGCTCGAGGAAGAGCCACAGGATTCAACTCCATTACTGCCAAGTCGGCAGGATGGATTGCAAGGTAACAGGATTACCGCTGTTCAAAAGGTTCAAGATGAACTACACGAATATCTAGTATCTAATGCTCATTCGAAAATAGAACAAGGGATCATATCCCACAAATACTCAGGAAAGTTGAAACAATTATAGAAATATTAACAGAGGGTGAAGATATAAAGAAGTTGGTGTTAAATATGCAGCAGCAGTTAGAAGATTTGAAGACGAGAGAATAAAGAAGAGGAGGAAGGACTTTTGCACAAGTTGTTGCTAGTTCTCCTTTGGTCAACAAGAAGATCGTGGAACCGAGGGAAGTTGTGATAGTGCAGCCCACAGAAGGAGATTGTGATGCTGAAAATACTAAGAAATTGATAAAAGAGAAAATGAATCCTCAAGCGTTGAAGATAGGTGTTAAAGGATTAAGGAAGTTACGAAATGGAGCAATTGCTATTGAAGTTGAAAAGGCGAGTGACAAGATCAAGCTACAAAAGGCAGTGGTTGAGATATCAGGAATGACAGCACGTGAGCCTAAGAAAAGAGTGCCAAAAGTAATTATACATTCGGTACCAAAAGAAATTGAAAAAGATGATATAATAAAGTATGTGTATCAGCAAAATGAAATATTGCAGGGAAATAATACAGGATTTGAAGAATTTGAAAGGGGTTTCATGGTTAGATTTTCCCTAGGAAATAGGAATAAATCCACCTCTAGTTGGGTGGTTGATGTTAGCCCTCAAAATAGAATACAGCTATTAAAGCTTGGAAAACTGAATTTACAATGGGTGAGATGCCCAGTGGAGAATTTTGTACCTATAGTACAGTGTTTTAATTGTTGTAGAATGGGGCATTTTGCCCGGGATTGCAAGCAAGAGACCCCCACATGTAGTCAGTGTGGAGAGGGTCATAGATACAGAGATTGTCCGAATAAAAATACTGTTAGAATGTGTTGTAACTGTAAGAGGGATAAACTGGCAGATACAAGGCATAATGCCCTAGATATAAAATGTCCATTGGTATTGAGGGCGAAGGCAACAATTATTAGTCGGACTGATTATGGAGGTGGAATCAATTAATGAGAAAAAAGTAATTAAAATAATACAAGGAAATATGCAGAGGGCAATTGCAGCAAATTCAATGACGAATAAAAGACTAGAATCAAAGGATGTCGCACTGTTGCAAGAACCATATACAGTTAATGATAAAGTGGCATGTTTAAGTAGAAGAATAAAGGTACTTCATCAAGGTACTGTCAAACCGCAAGCAACTATTGCGGTATCAATAATGGATATTGATATACATTTTCATTCTGAAGTAAGCAATCAACAGTGTGTATGTGCAGAACTTAATGTGGCTGGAAATAAGTTAATTATTGTAAGCATCTACAGAGTTTTTGGTGAAGACTTAAGTTGCACATATGATAATACAGACAAGATTTGTAAAAAATTTCAAGATCTGGCAATAATTATTGGAGGTGATTTTAATCTTCATTCTCCGATATGGGAAGACCCAAATCAAGATCCAGAAGTTGATGGCTTTATGGAATTCTTGGCAATGCATGGCTTGCATATAGTTAATGATCCTACTTCTCCGCCGACATTTGTTGGTCCAAGGGGCTGTAGTTGGATCGATTTGACAATCTGTAATGATAATGGATTGGTGTCGCTTAGTGACTGGGAAGTGGATAGTGAAGGGTGTCTCAGTGATCATTCGCCCATATGTTTTACAGTAAGTGTACCTAAAAGTGGTTCAAAGGTAGAGGAAAGGAGATATGATGTCAATAGGCCAAGATGGGAAAGATTCTTTGATAGATGTGTAAAAGAATTGAGTGATATAGTAAATAGGGAAAGTATTAATAGGGAAAAAACAGTACAAAAAATTGAGAAGTTTATTGATAAAGTTAATGAAATCTGTTGGGATTGTATTCCCCTTAAAAGGCAAAATAAACATGTAGTTCCCTGGTGGAATAGTGAGTTATACTATATCAGGAAACAGAATAATAAATTGAGAAGAAGGTTCCAGCATTGTAATAACCCAAGTGAAAGAGGAAGAAGGAGGGATGCTTTCTTAAGGTTCGAAAAATTTTATAAAAACAAGATTAAGGAATATAAGGTAAATTCTTGGAGACGGTTTTGTGAAGAAAACTCTGGTAATCCCTGGAACTTTGTGTTTAAGTTAAGCACTGGTAAATTAAAAACAAGGGTGATAACATCGACTATTAAGACACCAAATGGAGATACCTTGACTTTGGAGGATTCTGTTTCCTTCCTCCTAGAAATGTTTTTTCCAAGGGATATACATTCAGAAAATAATGAAAATCAAAGTGAGATTAGGAAGAAAGTGGATGAGGAATATGTTGAAAGAGATGACCCACCTTTTACAAAGAATGAAATTCAAGATAGTATTAATAGGATCAAAGCAAATAAGGCTCCAGGGGAAGATGGAATTGTAATACAGATAGTTAAGGCGATTTGGGAAACCAATCCACAGGCACTCATAGAAGTATACAATCAATGCTTGAATTATGGAATATTCCCAAGGAGATGGAAAATGGCTAAAGTTGTGATCATTCCCAAGCCGGGGAAGAGGGATCTTTCAGATCCTAGTAGTTTCCGGCCGATAAGTCTCCTGCCCATTATGGGCAAGGTGCTTGATGATTTGATGATACGGCGTATAAATTGGTATATGGAAGAAGGAAGGATAAGTGAATTACAGTACGGATTTAGAGCTCAGAGGGGCACAGAAGATGCAATCAACAAAGTTATAAAGGATATTAAAAATGTGCTGGAAACAGCTAAGTATGCAGTTGCAATAAATATGGATATAAGAGGTGCCTTTGACAATGCATGGTGGCATTTTATTTTATGGCAATTAAGAGAGAAAAGGTGCCCGAGGAATCTGTATTTGATGGCGAAAGATTATTTTAAAGATCGTACTGCAACATATCATTTGAATTATACAAAGATTGTAAAAGAATTGGAGAGAGGTTGCCCGCAAGGGCCGAAGTCGGGCCCTAGTTTCTGGGTTATTTACTTTGATGCACTGATTAAGAAGATTCAGGCCACTGGAACAAGGTGTACTGCATATGCAGATGATATTATATTAGTTATGGCTGGTTATTCACGTAGACAAATCGAAAGAGAATGTAATAACATTCTAACAGACATTGATAAATGGGGTAAGGAAAACAAATTGGATTTTAATCCTGCAAAAACAAAGGCTATGGTTTTGGCAAGGAATTTTATATCGGCTTTTGAAAGGAGATTACCAATAATTAAGATGAGAAATGAAAAAATACAGATAGTAAAGAAATTAAATTACTTGGGAGTTGTGATAGACAATAGAATGAGCTGGAATAAACATATTAAAGGACTTAAAACTAAGAGTAATATTATTTTTAGTAAATTGGCACAAGTTGCTAATGGTACTTGGGGCCTTAGGTCTTCGGCCATGGAAATTATTTATGATGGAATGTTTGTTCCAATAATGACATATGCCGCATCGGTTTGGTGTGATAAGGTACATAACTCATTGCAGAATAAGCATTTTAGACAAGCACAGAGAATAGCTTTGCTGAAATTGACGAGATGTTATAGGACGACATCAACAGAGGGGCTAATGGTTTTGGCTGGCAAGGCTCCAATTGAATTAGTTATCGAGGAACGGGCCAAACGTTTTTGGTTGAAGACAAGTAATACAGAGAGGTTATCTTCCTTGAATTTTGAGATAGGCAATTATGAACGAGACATATTAATTACGGAATTGCCTCATCCGGCAATGGAGTTTAGGGTACAAGAGATGGATCAGCAAAGGTGCTATACTGAAATTTATACTGATGGTTCTAAGACCGAAGAAGGGACCGGAGCTGCAATTGTGGTGTACGAAAGAAATGAAAAAATTTATAGTCAAAGTTATAAACTAGAAGAGTATTGCTCAAATTTTCAGGATGAGCTTTTGGCAATTACTAAAGCAGTAGAATGGTGTATTCAAAACAATAGAAGGGAAAGTGTATGTATCAGTACAGATAGCCTTAGTGCCCTTCAAGCTTTATTAAGTCAGAATTCGAAACAACGACAAGTATATAATATTAAAAAGCTCTTGTATGATAAAAGGATGCTAAAGAGTATTAAGTTTAAATGGGTTCGTGCCCATGTGGGAATCTATGGAAATGAAAGGGCGGATAGATTGGCAAAGGAGGCGATAAGTAATACACAGGTTATATTCGATATAAGACCAAAGTGCTGGGCAAAGATATTTTTGAGAAATGAAACTATAAGAATATGGCAAGATAATTGGACAACCAGTGATAAAGGAAGGCAAACTTTTGGCTATTTGCCTAATATTGAAGAACGGTTAAAGCAAATGAAATGGCTGAGTCATGATAGAGTGGTACTGATTTTCCTCTCCGGGCACGATGGTCTGGGAGAGTTTAAAAGGCGTTTTAACCTTGATGTTAGATATGGTTGTATTTGTGGTGAAGCTATAGAGGATTTGCAACACATCATTTATGAATGTATACAATGGCAATATCAGAGACATTTATTGAAATCGGTTGCGTTGGCTGAGGGGCTAGGTTGGCCCTGTAGTATTTATAACCTGATTCGGAATGATACGACATACAAAGAAATTCAGTTTTTCTTTAGGAAGGTTCATAAGAGCAAGAGCGCTCAATTGTAATTTGATCCTGGGCAAGTTGCCCAGTAGTATGTTAATTGTTTCTTTTATTTATTTTATTTGTTATGTTAAATTACTGTATTAAAGATTGTAACAAACAAAGAAATTAACAAACCCCGTTGTGCAATAGTGGTGCGGGGTGTTCTGATCCCTGTAAAGGGAAGTGATGATCCCCAATGAAAAAAAAAAAAAAATTAATTAATAGGTATGGCTGAGGTAAAGAAAAACAATAAATTTTAAATTTAATAAATTCAGTAATAGATTAATTATATATCAGTTCAAAAGATAAAATCTATTTTTACTCACCTTTTGAGAGAAAAGGATTAGTAACATTTTGATTTAACAAAAATCTGTTTTTACATGAACTTGAAAAATATGTATTAAGTTTTCTTTTTCCAGTTTCTGTAAATTCATAAGATTGAGGCCTAGAAAAATTAATTAACTAAATTATTTATAATTAATAGTAATTTTAAAAGCTATTAAAAAGATTTAATGCTAATTGCAATAAATAATTTGATATCACAGTAATAAACTTTATATGATTAAAAACTACATAGAATAAAAACTCAAATGACAATCTATACATATCAATCAAAAATATTTGACCTTAATCTTTCTAAATAGTAAATTTTAGATAAAGAATGTAGACCTGCTTTTCAATTCAAATTACTAATAATTTACAGAAATATCTTACTTAGTGTGGATTATCTTTAGTATGAGACTCTTATTATTTAGTTGGTATGAGTCAAAGAATTCAATTAATATAGAATGATTCACTATAATGTGACCACTGCTAACTTAATATATATATTATAAGCAGGGCTGTGGAGTCGGAGTCATGGAGTTTTGGTGTTTTAGCCGGAGTCAGAGTCATCAAAAAAGTCCGCCAACTCAGACTCCTTTTTAATTACCAACTTGTTAAGTATATAAAACGGAAAAATATTNCGAGAACGACGTAACCTGTATACCTGTACATTCCATTCCATCCTATTCCTGTACAATCCAACGGTATACCTGTAAATTCCAGAAATAAGGCTCTGGTATAAGCTTCCTTGTCTATACGTCGGATCTGATATACCGTTGGATTCCTTTTGAAAATTATCTTTTTGTTTTTTGCTGCTCCTATTTCTTTGTAAATATTGCTTAAGGATGCCATGTATTCTATCATTGTGCATGGAGGTGGTGTGACTGTCGCCGGGAGTGAACGTTTAAAAATATCGTCCGTCTTCGATTGTGGTTTTTCGGTCACTGTTCGATCAATCTTGGTTAACTCGATACCGTTGGATACAGGACAACGATAGCTACCTGTGAGTACCAATATTTTTAAAATCAGTCCTCAACTTTCGGTGATATATCCGTCCGAGCATTTTGGCCTTTGCCGTCCCCCACTGGGCCCCCCCCT